GCCTAAGTGACATGGCCTATAGATAGAGCCTACATACTTTAATATTGATGCGTGGAGGTTGACCTATAAGAGCTATGTGTCAACATATACTGAAGCAAAAGCTTCTATACGTCGGTCTAAGCTCGAATGTGTCGGCCTATGATGTTCACACATAAAACATTGTTTTTGATGTGTGTGACATGCCTAAGACTTTTCAATCCTTTTCAAAACATTTGTATGCATTCTAAGGCTAAATTGATTAATGCACATATAAATTTGGGTTGATACCGTCCAATATAAAAAACGCTAAAACACTCTCATGGTTTTAACATCATTCAAAACATGACTAGATGGAAGAATCCACCCACAACTTAGACTTCATTATATACAAAGGAAAAAAAATATATAGTTAATGGAAAAGAAAGTGTAATAAAGTGATAACAAACCAAAAATGGTTAATGGGCCTATGGTATGAATTACGATAATGCCTAAATACATTTTACATAAAGTATAACCAAAAAAATATATATATATATATATATATATATATATATATATATATATATATATATATATATATATATATATATATATATATATATATATATTTATATATATGCACAATTAAAAAAAAACTATTAAGATATTACATACTTTTATAAGGGTGTTCAAAATCGAACCGACCCGATAGAAAATCGCTAACCGAAGCAAACTAAATCAAAACTGCAAAAAATTATATATTGATTCTGTTGTATTTGAATCATCTACTAACAAAATACACGATTCTATTCGTTTTATGGTTGGTATTTTACAAACCGAACAAAACTACGTTATGTTACAAAATCTTACAAACTATTATATTTTTTTAATTCACTAGAAAACTCAATGAGTATTGTGTATACTTTATCGTATTTTTTGTATGATATTTTTTAAATTTATTTATCAATAAAAAATAAATATTATTTATTTATAAATACTATTGTTGTTATTTGAAATAAAATTGTTGCCTATTTATTTTTGTTTTCACTTTTAATTTGTTGATATTGATAAAGATAATATTAAAAGAAAAGAATTTTATTTACATTAATTTTGTATTTTCTTTTTCAATATAAACTATTAATAGTATTTCAAATTTATTTAAGAATGTAATTTTATATTTTTTTTTAGACAACACATTTGATATTCATGCATCAAATTTTAAATTTATTTTGACAATTCTAAATTTATTTTATAGTAACATATGAATGATTAAACACAAAATTACATTATCTTTTATATATGTATTAAAAAATCAAATCAACCGAATCACATTTTTCTCTCTCTTATATTTCAGATGATTTTTAGCATCAAAATTGTTCAAATCGTATCGCAAACCCTCTTACATGCCTCATTGATAAAATTACATTGACGAATTTTTCTAATACAAAGCTATAAAATAAATAAATGTGAAGAGTCAAAATCATGCTATAGAATATTTGTGAAATATGGAGGGTTAAAAGTGCATATTTAAGATTGAGTTTTTAACCTAAGATGAGTGAAAAGTATCGAGTAGCAGCTGCATGCTACTTTCCAACCACAAGTTCACCACATGCTAATATGCCTTCTATTGACAGTACATACACCTGAATGACCACATTACCCTTCATGCATCATAAAATGACGAAACTACCCTTTCATTTCGTGGATACGATTTGGATTCAAAAACACCACCGGATATCACGGCAATTACACTGCTGACCTGCCAAATCCCAAAACTTCAATCATGATATAAGCACCACAATATTCTTCTGTGTTTTAATAAGTTTTTTATTTTATTGAAACATCAATTATTTTTTAAATAAAAAACATTAATTTTGTACAGTCTCATATCATACTTATTAAAACTGTATAGTTAACAAATTTAATAATAGTAGTAGTTCTTTTAAATTTGTAGAATTTTAGTACTATTTGGTAATAATATATCAGAGAATGAGGAAACAATATTTCTACGAGATTGGATTGATGATCCCTTTTATCCTTAAAAAGAACAAGAAGTATGTACACACATTGCTCATGACGGCTAGTCCAACGATTCTACCCGATAAAAGGGAAAGTAACAGTTAAAGGGACATAGTACAAAAGTTAGATCTTACTATTTGTTTATCATAATCGTTAAGCAACAACATCATTATTAATATGATGATAATTACGCCACTATATTATCTTTTAAAATAATATAAAAATTTTAGTAATAATTAGACGGGATGTCACACAAATTAGATAACTAAAATGTAGTGTTAAAAGAATTTGAAATCATTATTTTAACATATTTATGATTTATTATGCTATGAAGAATATATAATATTATATTTAATTTATTAATAATTAATATTATTCATTTTATCATTTTAAAATAAATATTATCTCAGTTCTTAAATATAAGATATTCTTTAGTTTTTTTTATATAACCTCTTTGACTTTATAGAATTTAGTGTTAGCATTCGCCTTTTGATCAAGTTACTCATCTCTTGAGTTTGGATAAAATTATCTATTGCCTACAAATAAAAGTGAGAATTGACGTGTCTTAAAACACAAACAATATAGAAACTCGTTCAAATAGAAAAAAAAATCATGTTTTCTTGAAGAATAGAAGAAACTCTTATGAGAAGCTAAATAACCATCTCGTGAATCTTAGAATCCAAACCCAATCATTCTATATAAATATCCTAACTCCTAGGTTGAGACATGACATTAATTAACTTAATTATCATTAGGTACATATAGTTTCTCATCATTCATGTGTGAGTTTGTTCTTGTTGAAAAAAATAAGTGTGAATAGTGTGGAGAAATTTCATATTGGTTAGAAATATGGAGAGTTGAACATTTATAAATAGGAAAACTCGCACATCTATCACCTTAAAATTTTGAGTAAGTATGTAGTTTGTCTTCATAAATGTGTTTTACTCTTAAAAGAAAATTCTCAAAGTGAAAAAATGTTCCTCCGTGTTGACCCCCAAAATTAACCCCAATAGTGATGATCTTACCGAGATCAAAAAGAGAATAAACAGTCAGTAACACGTCGTGAGCTCCAAATTTATCGGTGATAGAAAAGAGGAAGGGGTGTACCTACAAGACACTCTGATGTCAAAGTGAAGAATGGAGTATAAGAGAGAGCAAGTACAGAAACTCAGTAAGTTTTAGAATACCTGACCCTCTTGTAGAGGAGGGTATTTATAATGTGCCCCCAGCACTGGGTCAACGGCCATCTGCTTTGGGTTGGATCACAAGGTTCACGTCAGATGACTGCCAGGATCCTATGTGACAGTAGGGAAGATCCGCATGTGGTCTTCATCTTGGATCAATTGTCCCACGAATTCCGGGGAGTGGAAGATCTGTTCTCTCGGGCGTGAGAAGTTGGTTGATGACGTGTTCCCGCGTGGGGAGCATGTAGAGAACGTGGGGAGGACGTGTGAGGAACATTTCCTCCCGCGGTGATGGCAGATTGGGCCTTTGTGTTGGGCCCTCCCCTATGCGGAGCTAGGTTGGGTTGTGCCCGACAGACGACCAACCTTAGGCCTAATCCCGAACAAGTGATATCATGAGTCATTGGTTTGAGTGAAAGGATCAACTCATTTGTAATAAAAGTATCCCTCACATAGTCGTAGATAAACTCATTTGCTAAAAAGTGTCAACGGCGGTAAGTGTATGTGATGGAAAAAAAAAGCTTCCGTTCAAGAGGACCATTGTGCATAGACTCACACTTGAGATTGAGAAAAAGAAGTGTGAGTAGTGTGGGGAAGTTCCACATTTGTTAGAAATGTGGAGACTTAGACATTTATAAGTGAAAAATCCACACACCTATCACATTTTACTTTTGAGTGAGTATGTGATGTGTCTCTCATAAAGATTTTTTACTCTTGAAAGAAAAATCTCAAAATAAAAAACGTTCACTTGTGTTGACCTTCAAATTAACTCCAATAACTCTAACACCACGACAATTTTAAAATTCTTATTTAACCAATACAAATAAGAAATATCATTCATTATTCTCTTAACAAATACAATTAATTATAATTTAATTATGCTAAAATAATTTTAAAAATTGTCAAGATTTAATAGTGAATTTTTTCGGCAGTTGTACACCTCTTAAACTACCCTATATTTTCATACAACTTTTAAATCTCACAAATATTATCTTACATTGTAATAAATATTTTAACACAAACAAGAATTTATTTTTTAAAGATAAATTTATAAATTTATATAAATTATTAATGAAATTAATATTTTAATCAATTTTCTTTTTAATTTCTATAACTTATTTTATTTTAATTGATTTGTTCAAGGAGATAAAAGGAGATTATTTACCAATCAAATAAAATGTATTTACTTGAAAAAACAATTTATTTTAGAATATCACAACAAGAAAGAAACAAAAACTCTCTCTATTATCCAACATTTAAATAGATTCCACCATTATTAATTACTTTTAAAAAAATCATTAAAATAGTAGAACTTTTCAGCACTTCCACTAAATTCAATTAGCTGATATCTAGAAATCAAATAACATTAATACCATATTAATTAGTCAGATGAAATACCATTTTCAAGTAAATTAAATTAGAAACAAAATCCCCAAACAAGAGAAAGTACCAACAAGAACCGTTAGTTTACTAAACGGCGAAAGATAAAATGAACTAAACACTCAAAACACAAACGGTGAAATGTTGAAATAATCCCAAAAGTTTTCTGTTTGTTTCGCTAAAAACCAAACAAAGAAAACGAAATTTGAAGACCAAAAGAGACGTACGATTCATGATTCTCATTCCTTGGTTGCAAACATAAGAGAGTAATAATAATAATATCTTCTCTTTACACTCAAAAAACAACAACCAACAAACAAAAAAACAGAGATACAAAACAAACCCTAACAACAACATTTCCTTTCTCCTTTTTTGTTTTTTTTTGTTTTTTTTTCTCCGATTCATATTTACATAATAACAAACAAAAAAACTCACTAATTTACCTAATTTTTAACTCCGTCAGCATAATTCTTCTTCAGACGAGTTCAGAAGTTCAGCGATACGGCGCGTGTCGTGTCCGTGTTTTAGCGCGTCAAGCACGCGCTCGAAAACGAACACGTGGCACGGTAACCGAAGCACGCCTTTCTGTTCGTAACCGTATTCCTGCGCCGATTCGTTCAAAAGCTTCACGAAAATCGGGTGGTTCAGAAGCTCCGCGCACACGACGAACCGCTCCATCTCGTCTCCGACGTAGATCGGAACATGTCCTTCGGGAACAACGGTCGAAGATCTCCGGATCTTCGATAAAACTTCCATCCGGAACGAATTGCCTCGGCGGGAAGGTCGCCGGCGACGAGTTGCTGCTGCTGTTGTTGTTGAGTCTGTTCGGAGTAGCGTGTAGGTTGAAGAGTCAGCGACTCGAGATAATCGGCGAATCAACTGCTTCATGATGAGAATCTAGAGAGAGAAAATAGAATCTGTAGAGAGAGAAAGTTGAAGTGGTTGAGAAGTGAAGAGTGAAAAGGAATGATAATAGAATAGAAGAGAAGGAGAGAGTGAGAGAGTTTATATATATGTGAAGATGAAAAAGGGAATTGAATTAATTAATAGTGAAGAGAATGGAAAGGTGATGATGCGAGAAGTGTGGGTGGGAGGTACAGGTAAGCGTACTTGGCAGGTACAATTGGTGAGAGAAAGTAATGTAGAGAGAGAAAATTTATATAGAGGTGGGTGGGACTAGGGTGGGGTTGGTTTTTATTTTTATTTAATTACTAGTATGATTTATTATATGTACGTATTTATTTTATTATTAGGGTATGGTTTTGAATTAGTTGTTTCTTTTGTTTTTGTATTTTTGGCTTTTTGTAAATGTCTTGAGACGACTCTCTCGATGTTTGCCACAGGATGTGTAGATGGACCATGGTGGGATGGGGATGTGGAGTCACGCGGCACTAGGGAGAGGTTTTGCCTCTTATCATTTTTGTTTCTTTCTTTCTTTTGTTATCAAAATATTTGTAACAAATTTATCATTCACGTCTGTAAGTAGTTATTTACATTGTTTTTAATATTAAATTTATCATTCACGTCTGTAAAAATATATGCTTTTAATTTCTAAAATAAATTAGTATCTTATAAAAAATTTGTTCTATTTATTAAGGGTTTTTATCAAGAATTTATAAATGTTGTTCAAGAATAAGTTATTCAAAAATCAAAAAAATATCAAAAATTTAATTTTTAAATGTTTTATTAAAAACTGAGTGATATATAATTTAATTTTCTTAGAAATATTGATAGTTATATATGTTTTTTCAAAAAAAGTATATAAAATTTCATAAAAAAAATTATATAAATTTTCACTAAATTTTTTTTACGAAGAAATAAAATCACAAAATTATTATGTTATTGAAGGTTATTTTATTTTCAGAAATTTTTATATTTGCGAATAATATTTTCATCTTTTTAATTAACAAACATGGAATTTTTTTAAAACTAGCCATGTATTCCAAAAATAATACCAATTAAATGAGATTTTCAAAAATTTTATCAAAGTAGCAACTTCTTTAACAGACAGTCGCCAAATGAATTGGCGAAAGAGGCAAAACACTGAATTGGGCTTGTATCCAATTCGCCAGACGGATTGGCGAAACAGGCAAAATGGGATTTGGGCCGTAACAAAGTCGCCAATGCATTTGGCGACATAGGCAATTTCTAGGATTTTGATTTTTCCTTTATTTTTTGATTATGTTTTTAATTTCAATTAATGTTAAAATTAAGTTTTTTTATATTTTAAATTAGTAATATTTTTTAAATATAATTATTAATAATAAATTTAAAATAATTAGGTTTAACGTTAAAATTAATTTCTTAATTAATAAACTTTAAATAATTAGGTTTAATGTTAAAATTAATTTTTAATTAATAAATTTAAAATAATTAGGTTTAAATAAAAATAATCTCAAATTAATTAAATAAATTTATCTTGATCTAAAAGTTGAGTGTTCATTGAAGTTTAGATTTTAAACCTAATTAAATAAATTTATGTTGATCTCAAATTAATTTATAATTTTAAAACATAAAAATTGAGTGTTCATTGAAGTTTAAATAATATAAATTTTGTAAGGGTGTTTAAGTCATATCATATGGGGTACGTACCATTTTTTTATACTATAAATACGACTGCAAACACATGTATGTTTTCACAACATTGTATCCCAAAAGACTGAAGCTTTAGTGCATTTTGAGTTGAGTGGAGCCTAGAATGTCTGCATTTCTAAATTAACGTTCGTCGTCCTCATCGTCATCAGCATCAGAGGAACCCTTTCCAACATTCGATCTAATGAAAAGAAATGTCTTAGTTGTATTTTCAGCAACAAAGCCTCCGATGAAGGTGCTCCTTTGGAATACGCAGACGTTGGAGCACTTGCATAGGGAACTGAACCGCTGGCTAGAAGGAGATATTGGTCCAGGAGAAAAGATTAGGAAAATTGAGAGGTTGGTCGAGAAGACCGGGAGACACGGAGTTACTCGTGAATGGAGAAAAGTGGAAAATGATGTCGGTGTCCTTGTGATGATGTTGACACTAAAGAAGATAAAGTTGATGGTCGTGATATCATAGACGCCTTGGTGCAGTGTTCTATTTTATGTCTTTACGTTGTTGTTATGTTTGTTTAATTTATGTTGCCTTCTTGCAATGTTCTGTTTTTATGTTGTTGTTATGTCAGTTAACTATGCTTTTAATTGATTGAAACTTGGTATTATTCGAATGAAATTTGCTATTAATCTTATAAAAGTTGCTATTAATCAAATGGAATTTGATATTGATTTAACGGGACAAGATTACATATGAAACTATGATCTGCTGCTTGATCCTATGTTAGGACATTTTGTTCGATTGTGTCCTGGTTGCCGACACGAACTACACAATCTCACCAGCTTGTCTGCGGTATCCATCTCAGTTCGAATGCACGTGCTGTTAGGCCGACCCTTCTTCTGTCTGCGCATCAAGTCATTATGCCAAACAATTTCGCCTTCGTATTGAGGCCAATAGTCCTCATTTGCCACCACTTGAAAGCTGCATGTGTAGACATTGCATAGACTAATGACTTGGTGAACTGCAGAAAGAAGGTTGGTTGGGTCCTGGTGCAACTTGAAACATGCTCCTATGACATGAGAGCACGACATACGAAATGCTTGAAACTTTCCACAATCACACCAACTCTTATCCAATTCAACACGGTAACATCCCCTAGGCCTTCCTTCGTTATGATCCATAGACTCGGCAACACTGAACCAACCAGTTGTACGGTCAAAGGTTGTGACCACGTGTGTGTTGGCTTTGGAAGCTTCCTCTTTCATGAATTTCATTGAAGTATCGCTATACAACTGGCCCGATTGTAATACCGAACCCCACTTCGTACGTCTGCTATCAAAGAGTGATCCTAGCCTAAAATAGGTTGTCTTTACCAAGGCAGTTACTGGGAGGTTTTAGATTCCCTTGAAAACATAATTCATTGATTCGACGAGGTTAGTTGTCATGTGGCCCCATCTCACTCCATTGTCGTATGCCCGCGTCCATTTCTACCGATCAATGTTATCAATCCATCGTAATGCATCTGCGTTTGTCAGTCTGATCTCGTCACAATAGTATTTGAATGTGGGTTCAGTTAGTGCATATCCTGCATTCACAACCTTCTTCCGTAGGGTCTTGTCTTTGATTTCATGCATGAAATTTTGGGCAATGTGCCTTATGCAATAGACGTGGGTAGATGGAGGATCCTGCCAACCGTTGTCATGGTTGTTGTATGCACTCTCGATTGATGGGTGTCGATCAGAGATCAAACATAAGTTAGGTTGTGGAGACACGTATGAGCGGAGGTTTTTTAAGAAAAAACTCCAACCCTCAGCAGTCTCCCCTTCCACTATAGCGAAGGCTATTGGAAAAATATTGTTGTTCCCGTCCTGTGCCACAACCATGAGAAGTGTGCCCTTATATTTCCCGTATAAACATGTTCTGTCAATTTGAATTATAGGCTTACAATATGCAAACCCTTTGATGCATGGTTCGAACGCCCAAAAGACTCTGTGAAAAATTCCATTTCCAGCAACGCAAGTCCCGTCTGCTGTACACGCAGGCAGTGTCTCCAATACCGCAACAGTTCCCGGAGAGTAGTGTTTAAGAGCCACCAGGAATTTCGGAAGTTCCTTGTACGACTCCTCCCAATTCCCAAACACCCTTTCAACCGCTTTAGTTCTGGAAATCCAGGCTTTTCGGTACGAAGGAGTGTAATTGTACCTTTGAACCATATGTGTAATTATGGTACTGACCTTCAAAGACGGGTTGTCGCTAACGAGTGACAGAATCTCATCGCAAATCAATTGAGAGCTGAGTTTACGATGGTCTTGCATCGGATTAGAGATTATAAAACTGTGGGACGGACCCATGGATCCTATCTTCCAGGAATCGCTTCTCTTTCTAAAAGACGCTGTTAATCGGAAGGGGCACTCCTCGTTACGATAATAGATCGTATACCGCGTCGGATTTTTCTGATCGACTCTATAATCGGCTGACAAACCCATGTGAAACCGTTTGATTTCCCGGACACAGTCTTCTTTGGTATGAAGCTCGTCACCCTCCTTTAGTTGCCCTTATGTTGCGTAGTTGGGATTGTAGAAAACATCTGTCGAGGGTTCATCATCACCCAAGTCGAGAGTTGTCATGTGTTGAGGTGGACAGTAAACATTGTCGGGTGGAACCCCGTCGTCCTGGTTGTTCACCATATCGTCAACAATGACTTTAGTTGCTTCTTCTTCTTCGTCAACAACATTAACTTCAGCGTGTTCATCGTCAGAATCGCAAAAAACTTGAGAAGAATCAAGTTGCTGAGACAGTTGTTGTTGTTGTAACGTAACATATAACACGATGTCTGAGAAACCAGAATACTCGTGAGCCTGGAACATGTTATGCACATCTTCATCGTCTCGCACCTTTAAAGGGAAAAATTTACTTCGCCATGGTCGCCAAAAAACACTAGGCTTTTGTATATTATTTGCCCAACTGGACCACATTGAAGTTTTTTTTTCTATTCTTGACTTAAGGTGTAAAAAGTTAGATCTTCTATCAATTAAAAATCTTGTAACTTCAGTGTTTCTGAAATTGTAACCAGATATTTCACATTCGAAAACTTCACCGTTGAGATGTGCCGAAATCATATATTGTGGTGTTTGAGACATAGCGAAAATTGTGTTTGAGTGTTTAATGGTTTGAGGGTTATAGTGTTTGAGGGTTTGATTGCTTGAGTGTTTGAGGGTCTGAGTGTTTGAGTTTAAAGACTTTATTAAATAGTCTGAGTGTTTGATTGTTTAAAGAGTTATAAGATTACATGCAGCATGCTTGATGAAAAATTACATGCATCAGGATACTTGTCACGCATCCGCAAAACTCTGCCATT